ATCAAATGACGTTTTAATTTTACGAAAGTTGCGAAGAACAGGTCCCATAGGATAAATGTAGGGGTGTTCCGATAAGTACCTACTAATGATGGAACTAAACTTTACTCTGGTTTCTCTTCAGAGCGAATAAATCTTTCGCCTTTTACTAAAGATTGCCGTGGAGAGGAACACTCTAATGAGTCTTAAACTATTTTTCATAACCCTGCTCTGGCAGGGTTTCCTTGAAAGTAACAAAAAGATTGAGGTTCCTGGGTACGGTGCTTCACGTCATGAAAAGAGAGCGGGGGGAACACACTTTGTGTTCATTGCAACAAAGTTACGCAGCTATTTATTATCTGACTAGCCTATAGCCCGTCCAAGGACGGGTGTATTGCAGTTTAGGGTCCATCCCCTTTCCCCCTCCCTGTATGCACGCATACTTTTAACCCCCCACCTGCGTATGTACGCTTGATCCACCCCCCCCCCCCCCCGAATACCTTCTATAATCACCCATTAATGTCTGTCCTTAACTCTCGTAACATCACTCCACATTGACCAGCCCCCCTAATTAATATTCAAGAGCAGGTGACGTCCTCCAAATGGACACCCCCTCCCCCCCATTCCTAATTATTAGCAGCTGAAGTAACTACACAGCGGGGGCCAAGGGACCTCCTCCCCTATCCTAGTCGTCAACTTACACCCCTCACTACATAGGCAGAACCCTCATGTCACGCGATTTCCGTAACGCTATTGAGACATCAGAGTAAAAAGTACGTCATGATGAACAAGGGATTATAACCTTAAAATGAAATAGGTCTATGTCACCGCTTCCTTACAAATTACACACGCATTAATGCAATGAATATCACGTCGTGGTCTGCTTTTCGCTTGCAAGTTTCAGATTTACTGCAATACACCCGTCCTTGGACGGGCAAAAGGCTAGTGTTTAAATAAAACATGCAGCGCCATATGTAGATAATAGATGACAGTTGGTATGCATAATACATATAATACATGACAATACAGTATATTTCTTAAAATATTTTTGTTATAATACGGTATTTTAAAAAGCTAACGGATGCTGGCCAAGTTATTGGCCATGTTTACGAGTCCGCCATTGGTCCAATACTGTAATTATGTACAATGAACACAATGTGAAGTAAACTATGTGCAGAATAACATTACCTTTACTTTAATAACCCTCGTGTAAATACATGAATGGAAATTAAATGATCACTGATTTTAAGTTGTATCAAAGGACGTTTTAATTTTACTAAAGTTGCGAAGAACAGGTCCCATAGGATAAATGTAGGAGTGTTCCGATAAGTACCTACTAATGATGGAACTAAACTTTACTCTGGTTTCTCTTCAGAGCGAATAAATCTTTCGCCTTTTACTAAAGATTTCCGTGGAGAGGAACACTCTAATGAGTCTTAAACTAATGCTCTGGCAGGGTTTCTTTGAAAGTAACAAAAAGATTGAGGTTCCTGGGTACGGGTGCTTCACGTCATGAAAAGAGAGGGGGGGGACACACTTTGTGTTCATTGCAACAAAGTTACACAGCTATTTATTATCTGACTAGCCTATAGCCCGTCCAAGGACGGGTGTATTGCAGTTTAGTGTCCATCCCCTTTCCCCCTCCCTGTATGCACGCATACTTTTACCCCCCCCCCCCCCACCTGCGTACGTACGCTTGATGCACCCCCCCCCCGAATACCTACTATAATCACCCATTAATGTCTGTCCTTAACTCTCGTAACATCACTCCACATCGACCAGTCCCCCTCATTAATATTCAAGAGCAGGTGACGTCCTCCAAATCGACACCTCCTCCCCCCATTCATAATTATTAGCGGCTGAAGTCACTACACATGGGGGGCCAAGGGGCCTCCTCCCCTATCCTAGGCGTCAACTTACACCCCTCACTACATAGGCAGAACCCTCATGTCACGAGATTTCCGTAACGCTATTGAGACATCAGAGTAAAAAGGACGTCATGATGAACAAGGGATTATAACCTTAAAATGAAATAGGTCTATGTCACCGCGCATTAAAAAAATTGCACACGCATTAATGCAATGAATATCACGTCGGGGTCTGCTTTTCGCTTGCAAGTTTCAGATTTACTGCAATACATCCGTCCTTGGACGGGCAAAAGGCTAGTGTTTAAATAAAACATGCAGTGCCATATTTAGATAGTAGATGACAGTTGGTATGTATAATACATATAATACATGACAATACAGTATATTTCTTTAAATGTTTGTTAAAATACAGTATTTTAAAAAGCTAACGGATGCTGACCAAGTTTTGGGCCATGTTTACGGGTCCGCCATTGGTCCATACTGTAATTATGTACAATGAACACAATGTGAAGTAAACTATGTGCAGAATAACATTACCTTTACTTTAATAACCCTCGTGTAAAAACATGAATGGAAATTAAATAATCACTGATTTTAAGTTGTATCAAAGGACGTTTTAATTTTACTAAAGTTGCGAAGAACAGGTCCCATAGGATAAATGTAGGAGTGTTCCGATAAGTACCTTCTAATGATGGAACTAAACTTTACTCTGGTTTCTCTTCAGAGCGAATAAATCTTTCGCCTTTTACTAAAGATTTCCGTGGAGAGGAACACTCTAATGAGTCTTAAACTATTTTTCATAACCCTGCTCTGGCAGGGTTTCCTTGAAAGTAACAAAAGATTGAGGTTCCTGGGTACGGTGCTTCACGTCATGAAAAGAGAGCCGGGGGAACACACTTTGTGTTCATTGCGACAAAGTTACGCAGCTATTTATTATCTGACTAGCCTATAGCCCGTCCAAGGACGGGTGTATTGCAGTTTAGGGTCCATCCCCTTTCCCCCTCCCTGTATGCACGCATACTTTTAACCCCCCACCTGCGTATGTACGCTTGATGCACCCCCCCTCCCGAATACCTACTATAATCACCCATTAATGTCTGTCCTTAACTCTCATAACATCACTCCACATTGACCAGCCCCCCTAATTAATATTCAAGAGCAGGTGACGTCCTCCAAATGGACACCCCCTCCCCCCATTCCTAATTATTAGCGGCTGAAGTAACTATACATGGGGGGGACAAGGGGCCTCCTCCCCTATCCGAGGCGTCAACTTACACCCCTCACTACATAGGCAGAACCCTCATGTCACGCGATTTCTGTAACGCTATTGAGACATCAGATTAAAAAGGACGTCATGATGAACAAGGGATTATAACCTTAAAATGAAATAGGTCTATGTCACCGCGCATTAAAAAAATTGCACACGCATTAATGCAATGAATATCACGTCGGGGTCTGCTTTTCGCTTGCAAGTTTCAGATTTACTGCAATACATCCGTCCTTGGACGGGCAAAAGGCTAGTGTTTAAATAAAACATGCAGCGCCATATTTAGCTAGTAGATGACAGTTGGTATGTATAATACATATAATACATGACAATACAGTATATTTCTTAAAATGTTTGTTAAAATACAGTATTTTAAAAAGCTAACGGATGCTGACCAAGTTTTTGGGCCATGTTTACGGGTCCGCCATTGGTCCAATACTGTAATTATGTACAATGAACACAATGTGAAGTAAACTATGTGCAGAATAACATTACCTTTACTTTAATAACCCTCGTGTAAAAACATGAATGGAAATTAAATAATCACTGATTTTAAGTTGTATCAAATGACGTTTTAATTTTACGAAAGTTGCGAAGAACAGGTCCCATAGGATAAATGTAGGAGTGTTCTGATAAGTACCTACTAATGATGGAACTAAACTTTACTCTGGTTTCTCTTCAGAGCGAATAAATCTTTCGCCTTTTACTAAAGATTTCCGTGGAGAGGAACACTCTAATGAGTCTTAAACTATTTTTCATAACCCTGCTCTGGCAGGGTTTCCTTGAAAGTAACAAAAAGATTGAGGTTCCTGGGTACGGGTGCTTCACGTCATGAAAAGAGAAGGGGGGGAACACACTTTGTGTTCATTGCGACAAAGTTACGCAGCTATTTATTATCTGACTAGCCTATAGCCCGTCCAAGGACGGGTGTATTGCAGTTTAGGGTCCATCCCCTTTCCCCCTCCCTGTATGCACGCATACTTTTAACCCCCCACCTGCGTATGTACGCTTGATGCACCCCCCCCCCCCGAATACCTTCTATAATCACCCATTAATGTCTGTCCTTAACTCTCGTAACATCACTCCACATTGACCAGCCCCCCTAATTAATATTCAAGAGCAGGTGACGTCCTCCAAATGGACACCCCCTCCCCCCATTCCTAATTATTAGCAGCTGAAGTAACTACACAGCGGGGGCCAAGGGACCTCCTCCCCTATCCTAGTCGTCAACTTACACCCCTCACTACATAGGCAGAACCCTCATGTCACGCGATTTCCGTAACGCTATTGAGACATCAGAGTAAAAAGGACGTCATGATGAACAAGGGATTATAACCTTAAAATGAAATAGGTCTATGTCACCGCTTCCTTACAAATTACACACGCATTAATGCAATGAATATCACGTCGTGGTCTGCTTTTCGCTTGCAAGTTTCAGATTTACTGCAATACACCCGTCCTTGGACGGGCAAAAGGCTAGTGTTTAAATAAAACATGCAGCGCCATATGTAGATAATAGATGACAGTTGGTATGCATAATACATATAATACATGACAATACAGTATATTTCTTAAAATATTTTTGTTATAATACGGTATTTTAAAAAGCTAACGGATGCTGGCCAAGTTATTGGCCATGTTTACGAGTCCGCCATTGGTCCAATACTGTAATTATGTACAATGAACACAATGTGAAGTAAACTATGTGCAGAATAACATTACCTTTACTTTAATAACCCTCGTGTAAATACATGAATGGAAATTAAATGATCACTGATTTTAAGTTGTATCAAAGGACGTTTTAATTTTACTAAAGTTGCGAAGAACAGGTCCCATAGGATAAATGTAGGAGTGTTCCGATAAGTACCTACTAATGATGGAACTAAACTTTACTCTGGTTTCTCTTCAGAGCGAATAAATCTTTCGCCTTTTACTAAAGATTTCCGTGGAGAGGAACACTCTAATGAGTCTTAAACTAATGCTCTGGCAGGGTTTCTTTGAAAGTAACAAAAAGATTGAGGTTCCTGGGTACGGGTGCTTCACGTCATGAAAAGAGAGGGGGGGGGACACACTTTGTGTTCATTGCAACAAAGTTACACAGCTATTTATTATCTGACTAGCCTATAGCCCGTCCAAGGACGGGTGTATTGCAGTTTAGTGTCCATCCCCTTTCCCCCTCCCTGTATGCACGTGTACTTTTACCCCCCCCCCCCCCCCCCCACCTGCGTACGTACGCTTGATGCACCCCCCCCCGAATACCTACTATAATCACCCATTAATGTCTGTCCATAACTCTCGTAACATCACTCCACATCGACCAGTCCCCCTCATTAATATTCAAGAGCAGGTGACGTCCTCCAAATCGACACCTCCTCCCCCCATTCCTAATTATTAGCGGCTGAAGTAACTACACAGCGGGGGCCAAGGGGCCTCCTCCCCTACCCTAGGCGTCAACTTACACCCCTCACTACATAGGCAGAACCCTCATGTCACGAGATTTCCGTAACGCTATTGAGACATCAGAGTAAAAAGGACGTCATGATGAACAAGGGATTATAACCTTAAAATGAAATAGGTCTATGTCACCGCTCCCTTACGAATTGCACACGCATTAATGCAATGAATATCACGTCGCGGTCTGCTTTTTGCTTGCAAGTTTCAGATTTACTGCAATACACCCGTCCTTGGACGGGCAAAAGGCTAGTGTTTAAATAAAACATGCAGCGCCATATGTTGATAATAGATGACAGTTGGTATGCATAATACATATAATACGTAACAATACAGTATGTTTCTTAAAATATGTTTGTTAAAATACAGTATTTAAAAAAGCTAACGGATGCTGGCCAAGTTATTGGGCATGTTTTACGGGTCTGCCATTGGTCCAATACTGTAATTATGTACAATGTTCACAATGTGAAGTAAACTATGTGCAGAATAACATTACATTTCCTTTAATAACCCTCGTGTAAAAACATGAATGGAAATTAAATAATCACTGATTTTAAGTTGTATCAAAGCACGTTTTAATTTTACTAAAGTTGCGAAGAACAGGTCCCATAGGATAAATATAGCAGTGTTCCGATAAGTACCTACTAATGATGGAACTAAACTTTACTCTGGTTTCTCTTCAGAGCGAATAAATCTTTCGCCTTTTACTAAAGATTTCCGTGGAGAGGAACACTCTAATGAGTCTTAAACTATTTTTCGTGACCCTGCTCTGGCAGGGTTTCCTTGAAAGTAACAAAAAGATTGAGGTTGCTGGGTACGGTTGCTACATGTCATGAAAACAGAGGGGGGGACACACTTTGTGTTGATTGCGACAAAGTTACGCAGCTATTTATTATCTGACTAGCCTATAGCCGTCCAAGGACGGGTGTATTTCAGTTTAGGGTCCATCCCCTTTCCCCCTCCCTGTATGCACGCGTACTTTTACCCCCCCCCCCACCTGCGTACGTACGCTTTATGCACCCCCCCCAGAATACCTACTATAATCACCCATTAATGTCTGTCCTTAACTCTCGTAACATCACTCCACATAGACCAGTCCCCCTCATTAATATTCAAGAGCGGGTGACGTCCTCCAAATCGACACCCCCTCCCCCCATTCCTAATTATTAGCGGCTGAAGTAACTACACAGCGGGGGCCAAGGGGCCTCCTCCCCTATCCTAGGCGTCAACTTACATCCCTCACTACATAGGCAGAACCCTCATGTCACGCGATTTCCGTAACGCTATTGAGACATCAGAGTAAAAAGGACGTCATGATGAACAAGGGATTATAATCTTTACATGAAATAGGTCTATGTCACCGCGCATAAAAAAAATTGCACACGCATTAATGCAATGAATATCACGTCGCGGTCTGCTTTTCGCTTGCAAGTTTCAGATTTACTGCAATACACCCGTCCTTGGACGGGCAAAAGGCTAGTGTTTAAATAAAACATGCAGCGCCATATGTTGATAATAGATGACAGTTGGTATGCATAATACATATAATACGTAACAATACAGTATGTTTCTTAAAATATGTTTGTTAAAATACAGTATTTTAAAAAGCTAACGGATGCTGGCCAAGTTTTTGGGCCATGTTTACGGGTCCGCCATTGGTCCAATACTGTAATTATGTACAATGTTCACAATGTGAAGTAAACTATGTGCAGAATAACATTACATTTCCTTTAATAACCCTCGTGTAAAAACTTGAATGGAAATTAACTAATCACTGATTTTAAGTTGTATCAAAGCACGTTTTAATTTTACTAAAGTTGTAAAGAACAGGTCCCATAGGATAAATGTAGCAGTGTTCCGATAAGTACCTACTAATGATGGAACTAAACTTTACTCTTGTTTCTCTTCAGAGCGAATAAATCTTTCGCCTTTTACTAAAGATTTCCGTGGGGAGGAACACTCTAATGAGTCTTAAACTATTTTTCGTAACCCTGCTCTGGCAGGGTTTCCTTGAAAGTAACAAAAAGATTGAGGTTGCTGGGTACGGGTGCTTCACGTCATGAAAAGAGAGGGGGGGGACACACTTTGTGTTCATTGCAACAAAGTTACGCAGCTATTTATTATCTGACTAGCCTATAGCCCGTCCAAGGACGGGTGTATTTCAGTTTAGGGTCCATCCCCTTTCCCCAATCCCTGTATGCACGTTTACTTTTACCCCCCCCCCCAACCTGCGTACGTACGCTTGATGCACCCCCCCCCCAATACCTACTATAATCACCCATTAATGTCTGTCCTTAACTCTCGTAACATCACTCCACATCGACCAGTCCCCCTCATTAATATTCAAGAGCAGGTGACGTCCTCCAAATCGACACCCCCTCCCCCCCATTCCTAATTATTAGCGGCTGAAGTAACTACACATGGGGGCCAAGGGGCCTCCTCCCCTATCCTAGGCGTCAACTTACACCCCTCACTACATAGGCAGAACCCTCATGTCACGCGATTTCCGTAACGCTATTGAGACATCAGAGTAAAAAGGACGTCATGATGAACAAGGGATTATAACCTTAAAATGAAATAGGTCTATGTCACCGCTCCCTTACAAATTGCACACGCATTAATGCAATGAATATCACGTCGCGGTCTGCTTTTCGCTTGCAAGTTTCAGATTTACTGCAATACACCCGTCCTTGGACGGGCAAAAGGCTAGTGTTT